AGAAGTATAGCACTTTTAAGGTTCAGAAACATATATAAAAATGGGGTTCTGAAATGGTCATTTTTCCCCTCTGCTATGCCATTATAGCGATCAGCCAAGCTTCTGCAAGGTAAATACTTTTGGAAAATAAGTGGAAATTTGCTGCAAATCAGTCCCTTTTGTGCCTGGCCACAGGAGCATGTTGAAATGTTTGGACACTAATACCCATTCATTTTCTTGGCTCCATAAATAAAAGCCGCCAGCTATGTGGCGGCCGTGAAATGGTATTCTTCAGGACCCAGCAGGAAGCCCCATCCTTATTACCACTGCAGGGGGCAGGACAGGCCCAAAATAGCAAGACAACTAAATCAAGACATTTTCAATGTCTAACAAAATGACTGTGGTTTAGAAAGAAGCAAAAGGTTGGAAAAAATTGGGCAGCTTTTATACTTAGCATAATACCTTTGTTAAAGGAGTTCAGATAAGAGAATCAGATCTTTAAAAAAAAAAAAAAGGCGTAAGCATATTTCTGAATATCATTTAAAATATGTAAAGATCTTATGGAATCATAGGCAGAGCGTGGTGCTCTCTGAAAGGACATCCTGCTCAAATCATATTTTCCAAATGGTAGCCCACGGTTCATAGTAAATAATGTCTTCTGGCAATATCGAAGTGTTTTGATGGAGCCAAAAGGTTTGAAAAGAGGTGTTGGAAAGTTGTCAGTAAAATTTGAAATCTTTTTTGGTCCCCAAAATTACAAAAAAATAACTATTTGTAAGGAGAAAGGGTTTTGGACTAAACCCTTGGCTTTTTCTACAGGTTTATTTAATTTTTATGGGTTTCCTGCAAAAATCATATTGCTTACAAGCAGGCAATATGATTCTAGATTTTGTCATAAAAACATACTGAAGGCCTTCAGTCAAAATAAATATGTTAGTGTAACTAACATAGATGAACTGTGCTTATCTGGGAAAATATTAAAGTAGTTTTAAAAACTGAGCTTCAGGTAAATGGGGTATTTTAGGTGTATAAAGAACAATGCAGGGGATACCATCTTGCTTAAGATAATCAAAGATCAGACTGTTGAGGTTTTAATGAATTCACAGTACATTGGTGTACGCCAAAACCAGTGTGTCATTCTCACCACTAAAATACATGTGGAGGAGATGTTTTATCTTAGTTTTATACTCATTTGTGATTCTGATTATAAATTTGCTTAAACAAAATTGAAGTAAGGATATGCCTTACACATTCACATTTCCATGAAGCATATATATGTGTGTATATATATATATATGGGCATATATCTACAAATTTATACTTACACATACAAGTTGCCACACAGTTTTGGGAATTGAAACAGTTGGAATGCCTTGTTATAGAAGGAAATACTCAGCTTTAGTTTCAAGAAAAAATAACCATTTTACCTTAACATTAAATTTCCTTGCACTGCAAAGGAGAATTACGAAGGTGCAAAATGTCAGAGAAAAATGAATTCAGTGTATCACTGAGTATTGCCTTGTAGACCAGCAAGGGGTTTTGATAATAAAATTAAAGCCAGAAAATGAAAATTGGGAACCACAGTGCCAGTTCAGTGCTGTTTCAATCTTCCCTGGGAATTGAGACTGCAGTCAGGCTCAAACTCCCTGGCCATCCTAGTTTAGTGTTGGCCATCCTAGCTTCACTCTGGAGCAAGCCAGATTGTCCAGGGAAGTTTGTAGACATGAAAGGAGTGGCTCATATTCAGTTCTTTCCTTACAGATGTAAGAGAGGGAATGGAATGGCTCAAGAAACTCAACTCTGAAAAGTGAGGCAACACAGCACTTTTAAGTTGATCTTGATCCATGCAAGAAACACACTGCATGGTCATGTGCAAAGGATTCAGACCACCTATCCTTATGCTTAGATCTACACACATACACTCTGACCCCAAAATTAGGAGAAATTAAGTCTATTTATTGGTTGTCTTTTCTGCAGTAATTGAAAGAAGCATTTACCACATCCTGGCTGTACCTGGTAAAGACATAAGGAGATTCCAAAGGTGTCATTAAGTATGTGGAAACCCAGTTTGGTTCATCTGCATCCTGTAAAGATCTCAGTATCCTTTTTTTTCACCTCCTGTCTACGTGGCACAGATTTTACAGAACGGGCAAGTTGTACATCCAGAGTGGTGGTGACCATAAACATAATCCTCATGCATTCGAGAAGGGGCAGCCTTGGGGTTCCCATTACACCAGTAACTTAAGACACACCTTTGGGGCACTGAGGGTGACCCAGATACATAAGGCTGCTTCCTACCCAGCTGTACTGCTCACCTCCCTGACCTCCTGCCCTGAAAAACCCAAGGAGCGGCCTACAAAGGAAACTGTAGCAGAAGATACACTGGTGTCAGGTCTGTCATTATCGTAATTGGTGCAACTGAAGTAATTCAGACATTAAGCCCGTAATCTTCTCTGCTGTTTGTATCTGCTTAATTTAAAAGTTACGAGGCCAAAAATTCATTGAAACCAGTGGAGATTCACCCCTTTGCTTGTTTCCATTTTGGCCCACTGAGTGCATGAAAAAAGCTTGCCAAATTCTTTGGAAGCTTGTATTTGCAATATGACTTCCAAAATAATTAACCCTGGAAGCAGGATTTAACAAACTCACGTTTGATACGTGGAAGGAATAATACCTGAACCATCTTTCTTATGCTCAGCCTTTTATGACTCAGACTTTAATGATTGCAATAAACATTAGCTTACCTAATAAAAACTCTAGTATTTCGGAGCTGGCTCACAGTATGTTAACTGCATCTGGTGTCAACTGGAGCTAATTAATATTTTTATAGGTGTCTTCTCCCCACTGTAGTTTAAACGGAAATATTGTGGGGTGCTCACATCAAAGCTGGAGGCAATCGAGAGCCGCTGCTTGCTTCCCAGGCTGAACTGATAGCAAGTAGACCAATTTTTATAGGATTGTAAAAGCTGACTGTGGCTGGGGTTCATGCAGAGAAGCACTTTTCCCTGTAGCTCTCACAATTCAGCACTAATGCTCGTGGCTTGTTTGCTGCGAGGTGGCTGGTGAGATAGATGGAGGGACAGCGGACAGATAAACTGGCAAATAGTTCTCCCTACACTTAGACAAAGCACACAGTGACCCAGACAAACCACACTTTTTTTCTCCTCCTCCTTCTAAAGGCTTTAAAAATGTGCTCTATCAAGCATTTACTTGTGGCGCAGATAAGATTTATCTAACAAGACTGGGATAAAATTAAAAAGAAAGATGAAATAGCACAAGCGGTGCTAATATGTGTTTTGAAGCGTACGAATCGGCCAGTGCAATGTCACAGCCCTGGGCTACATTTGCAAGTGGTCGAGCATCTCCTTTTTAAAAGGTTAACCTACAAAGAGCACACAAGCCCCTCTCTATGAATATGGGCAAACACCCAGGGAGCTCCACAACAATAAGAAAATAATGACATCAACCTGACCATGCTTAAGTACATAACATGCTGAAGGTTCACGGTTGTGTGGCCTGGAACAATAAAGGAAAAATAAAGAAGCCTGCTTGGTAGGCCCCAGCTGTTATTAGCCATGCTGTGAGATCAAGGGAAGGTATGATATGGGCTGCCATTTCAATTGAGACCAGGTTAATCTCTCAATTTGTGGAAAAGAAAAACTAAAAAAAAAAAAAAATAAAAATAGGGAGGGAGAGAAAGCAGTCTTCACTCCACAGTGCTACATATGGGAGAAATAACAATATCCCTATTTACATAATCTGTCTTTAACCCTTTCCTAATAGAGACTTAATTTCCTAAGAGTCACAAACTGAAGATTTAATTTTCTTGCCCCCCAAAATGAAATATCAAACCTTTGTTAACCATTTCCCATTGGTGCTGCCATCGTTGGTGGCTGACATCTAGTGCTGCCAATGCTTACCCAGGGGGGACTGCTAGTTGCTGCTGGGAGATCAGAAATGGATGGAAAGAGCTGTGGATGCCACTGGTTTTCTGTCACTAATCTGTTTCTAGCACTGAATAAATAATTTAAAATTTGTGCTATAATTTACAGTCATGAAATTTGGCACATGATACCAAGCTCTTTCACCAATGCTCTCAACTCATATATTGAGTTTCTCAGGTGAAGTGCTTTATAGGTGTAAATAGTCCTATTTTGTGTGGCAGTAGCATGTGAAGACAATGTGGGGACTTGCCCTCCTAACCAGTTTTGTTGTGTACTGATAAAAGCAGTGAGGGGAGTCCAGGCTCCTCCAAGGTCGCCCGCCATCCTCCCTTGGGATCCAGGGCAAGGCAGGATTTCCAGCAGCTCTACTGAGGAAAGCTGCTTTCCTGCAGGCTTGGAAAACTGAAATGGAATCTCTTAAAGACTATAATTTATGAAATAATAGCCTAGAGATACTGTATTATACTTCTTTTTATGTGTAGTTCATGGTGTGTAAGCCAGCGTGTGTGCACAGCCCACGAGGCTCCTGTAGACGTTAAACTCCTCCTGAGCGCTGTCCTCTGCATCAGCCCTCTGGAGTCAGGGGAGATTACTCCCTCCTCAGGAGGGTCTCAGCATGATCACAGAAGATGAGTTAGGGGAAAAGGGACCCTGCAGTGAGTGCTGAGGCTGAGATGCTGCTGAGGACAGGGAGTAGGCAGGACTCTGGCCCTGAAAGCCCAGTGCTTCAGAGGGAGCCGGGGGGCTGTGTGCAACTTGTCAGAATTCTAGAAAGTCACTGAGAGCGAGCCTGAGGGAATGGACCCACCTTGTCAGGACACAGGAGGCGGGGAGAGAATATTGCCCAGTTTTTCATTCCCTTTTCTTTGTTATTTGTTTTTTCTGAGTTTTCCTTCATTAGAAGAAGTTCACTGTTCTTGTCTCTGGTTTGTGAAAAACTCTCTCTGGTGTTTACAAAGGTAGTGCTGAGTTCTTGGGTTTTTTGAAGAAAAAGATGCAGCAGAGTCTTCTCAAAGCTCTGCTGACTCAGCATCACAAGTACTAAGACTGATTAAAAACTGGTGCTTTATTTTCCAGGTATCCTGATGATTTTAATCAATTAAAATAGCTGAATGAAGCTGAGCCAGGGTGGGGGACAAATAGGAAGGCTGTGGCAAGACAGGAAACATGTCCCTAAAAGCCAGGTGAGCAGAACAGCCACTGTGCAATCACTTTTGAGTCACTACTCTATCCTCTACCATCATCAAAAGGTTGATCCAACAGTAGTAGCTGTATTTATTATGTTTCTCAGATGTGCAAATCTCAAGTTCTTATGACTTTATGTTATAACATTTCGTCATTAGTTTAATGACTTAATCCCACTATTACCTATTTTAACATAAAAAGAATTCCCTGTATATGCAGATTTCCCTAATTTTGTTTAAATAAAGGAGGGAATATCAAAATTGGTTCCTGGAGGATACCTGGACAGGATTGGTTTTATTTTATTAGTGTAACCATCATGCTTGGATATTTTTTATTTTGAAGACTATGCCTTTTAAGAAAACCCTCTAGGTAATATGAAATATAAATTATTGCAGAGAAGAAGCGATACTGATAGACTTGTAAAATTCTTTGTGTTTTCTAACTGCAGTAATATATATTTTTTAATTAATGGTCTGTTACAAAGTGGAGCTGAGCAGCATTTGCCTGAAATATTAAGGGTGGCCAACTCCTTTACATGAAAGTTTTTGGTAGAGATTATTTAGCATATTAATTTTTCCTGAGATCAGGGGCTACATTAGAACCTAAAAAGTCTTAGTACTATATTTGTAGATAAGTTTCCCTTTGTATATTTTTGCTGCTGCATTATTATTTTTTTTTTTTGGTGATTAAATACCAAAGTGCAAAGGACTTGAAAGCAGCTGTTTGTTTCCATTTCTTTTTTCAGTTTTACATGAATTCATTAAAAACATATTCCTGAAACTGTAAGGCCAAAGTGATCATATATTGTGGTTAAAACCAAAATCATCTCCTTAGGCTCCCGAGTACTCCTTTTTCAGAACTATTCAACCTGTGTCTTAGATCTTCCTTCCCTAGTAAATGTACTTCCCTTCTCTGTGGGATGAGTAACTCACTTGTTCACTGAATTGACAGAACAAACTTAATCTTTGCCAGATTTATGCAGCACCTTGAGAAAAGACTGTGCTTATATCCATTGAGCTCTATGTGGTTGGTGGCTACATTCCCTCCAGTGCCCATTGTGTCTGTTCCTCAGTGCTTTAAATTCAACACTTTCAGATTATAATGAAAAACTTCCAGATGTAGAGTTTAAATTTTCATTACATGTGTTATCAGCAGGGAACATCACGGATTTCTAGTGCCTGAATGAGTCCTGTGTGTTACCTGTAATGTAAAAACCCCCAGCAATAACAGGGATATCACATCCTAATTAACCATGATATTTTTGCACAGATAAAAATAAATCTATCACCTACTTCTTTCCTACTTAGTAACCCTTGAAGCAAGAAGATGTGGTCCCAAATAATGTGCCTGAATGTGCTGTCATGGAAAAATGTGGCATGGCTTCCTTTACAGCGTAAGGAGTCGGTTCTGGATCTTTATTATAAACGTATTTAGATTAATTAGAAAACATTTCTGTTGTTTTGTTGCCAAATAGTTCCTAGCACACACTAAATCATGTCTTATTTTATTCACACTGCACTTCACAGCAGTGCAGCCAGGTGTTAAATAATAGTAGAGTTACATCAAAAGGCTTGGCCACTCAGTTGGGAGAAGCATCCAGAAGTTCAGATACTTATCTGGAACCCTCCCAAAGAATGATGGTCTGGAAACTGAGCTGAAAAAATATCACTAGAAGAGCTGCTTTGCAGAGCAATCCCTTTTTTCTGTTTGTAGGGTACCTTAAGGTACAGAGGTCTGAGTACTTTAAAATAATTACATAGTGTGTTATTTAATAAAAGGTACATGTGAAGCCAAGGATTCTGGACTTGCTGACTTTTGGTACTGTTTTGTGTTTCCTGTTTCCATTACAATCAGAAGTACTGAGGGGAAAATAATCAGTAAAGCAGATTTTAAAAAAGGTGTATCAGAAACTAGGACAAAACATCTTATTTTGTAATAGTTTATCAAATTCAATCTAATTTTAATAAATCAATTTTTGTAATTTTTTAGGAATCTGATCTTCTCATATATGCACATACATGATTTGAAAGGACAACAAACTGAAAGGAGAAGAGAGTAAATCAAATTTTGGCAAGCACAGTGTTTTACTGACAAGGACAAACAGGCTTTTATCTATCATTTCTGTACCTATGAGGTCTCAAAGACAAAGTTCTGGCTTTTCTGAACTTAGGAAAATCAAGGTTCCATTAGTAGAACACCCCAAATACTTGCTGCTGAAATCCATTGTAGTTTTCCAGCAGGTGTGTCCAGAACAGAACCCAGACATCCTGAGTATGGGCTCGGAGGTCTCCAGTCTGAATTTTCTTGTATGAAGTTGTGTTCATGAGCAACAGGGCTACCACATCAAAATCCCGAGCTTTTAGGGGGAATTTTGCCAGTGCAAGATTTCAGTCTGAAATACCCTGTTTATATATATATATATATATAATATCTTTGAATATGCTCCCAGAATAAATGATGTATTTCTCATTTCCCTCTGGGAAACATGGTTATTGTAGCGGTGAAAACAGGGAGATCGTGCCCCGCCCCCCCCCCCCTCATTTTCTCTTTGGACTTTATGTAAAAATAAGGTACCGTTGGAGCTGTGTACAAGTGTGAGACCACCAGCTAATTTTGCATAGCCCACTGAACAGTTAGATGGGAATTGCTCTTCAGGGTGTTCTCTTTGACAATAAACAGAAGCCTCAAGTCTGTGTTTGGCTGCAGTTCAAAAAAATTACTAAGGAATCCTACACACTTATGTATATGAATACAAGCAATTGCACATTCCCATACAGTAAGCTTGCAACCACAGTTATTAACATTTTAAAATGAGTAAATGCAAATAAAATGACTGAGTAATACATGTTATGTTAAGATCAGCTATATGAAAAGCAAAAGGATTAAAAGTTAATTTCATCCTTTTTAATTCAAGGGACATATAAATGGCATTCTGGGTAGAGTCAACTCCTCTTTTATCAGTCCTTTGATGCTGCTTTCTCACTGATTCAGTTGTTCAAATGCTACCTACATAATAAAATCCTGAGTTAATTTACTAAGATTTTACACCAGTGCAAATGAAAGAAGGGAAAGTGCTAAACAAGGCAATTAGCACTCTGTTTAGTGCACTCCCAAAATAAATGTAGGCAATTTACAATTTGGCAAATGGTACTCTATCCAGATCCAAGTCATTTCAGCCTAAGGGGCTGGTGCAGTTCATTAGGGGTGAAGGGAAAGGGTCTTTGTTTTGCTTTGCTTTTTAACTATATGTATATATATACACACAGAGAAATACACACGTTGCTATTAAGGTCCACCCCATTTTACCTTGCAGCAACAGATGTGACCCCTCCTGGGGTTATTAGGATTTCTGGTGGAAAAATGTCAAGCTCTATGCTCACACTGGCCACATAAGTGACCTCATTTATGGTGATAATACTCTTTCTTAAAGTGAGGGATTCCAAAATTGGCAACTCACTGATAATCTCCTTTGTGGCTTTCTTGCCTTGATGGTTTTTTGTGTACTTACATGTTTATTATCACTGGAGCTGTTCAGATCGGATCTGTGAACCTGGGAATGTCCTGAGTGAAATGATAAGATAAAGCACTCTGCAACTACAACTGACTCTCTTTTTAATTGACAGGAAGACTGCACTATGACTTCCATGTTTATTCTTGTAAGCTCCTTATTAATGCAAAAATAATAGCTGTTATTAATGCAGGATCACAGCCAGCATTAATATTTAAGATGTAAGAATGAAGGAGGTTAAATACGTGTTTATATTAGTTTTAAACAAAGAGCTTTGCAAAACAGTTAAGGCAAGTAATGATGACCACATTCACAGAGAGTGTATGTGGTGTGAAATACCTGCTAGGTTCTGGGGTTTAAATACATATTCTTAGTGGGATAAAGGTCTTTGATGAGTCTCCTGCCTTGTCATGCCATTGTCTCTCTGAATTGCTACTGCTTCTTACTAAAGAGAATACAGATGAAGATTCTGAACAAAATATGTAATATACTATGATATTAGCACTGATTTATTTTTTTGTTTATTCAGTCTGTAGAGCTCTTTTATATGATAGATCATAAGGTAAAAGCATTCTTTTGTGCCCTCTAGCTGCTGGTTGCACAAATGAAAGAAAGAGGGAGAAAACAACCCTGTGATTATTAAATTCTCCTCATCTTTAGGGTTAAGTACCCTGGCTAATAAAGATCTCTCATGAGGATAAAGTTTCTTTCTTGGCAATGTCACATCCATTTAAGTAAAAATCATCTGGATGCTTTCAGGGATTCAAGCTGTTACCTTTACATAAAGCATCTACACCAATTCTTTGTATTGTTTTTATCCTCTGAGAAAGCCTGACACTGCATTTCTTGGTTAAGCAAACCTCCCACTGAGGGCAGGCTGTGGGATTGGGCCCTTTTGTGCTACAGAAATCTCTGCTTCACAAGAAAGAAAAAAAATATTTATATGTTCATGTAAAAATGCAAGAACTATTTAATATCATTAAACACACTGTTTCAGACAGTGACAGTTCAGCCTGATCTTGTACTGAGCAGTCATTAAGACCTTTGATTTCAGACTTGTTTTTGTTAGAACCATGTTTATTGCTGATCTTTACACATCCTCGTATCCCAAACTGCTTCGCTCTCTTTGGTAGGTTGTTCTAATAATACATGTATTAAAACAAATACCAAGTTTCTGCATTTTTACAGCTTATAAAAATTAATTTTTTTTTTTTAATTGTTCTCTAAACAACCTCATCACTCAATACTGATTGTATATGCCTAAAGTCTTTGCAAAATATTATGGGCCAGAATACCACTGATGAGCTCTCGGTTTCTAGTTGGGTATGTGCAAATTTGGGTTTATGCAGGCTCACTTCATAGCAAAAAGGATCTAGTTTAGACAGTAATAAGAACTTAATAACTTGTAGGCACAGTGAAGCACTGGCATGGATCGCCAGGGGAGGTGTCAAGTCTCTGTTGCTGCAGGTTTTCAACAAGAGGTCAGACAAA